AGGGATGGATTTTGCCAGGAGGCCACTGATGAAGCAGTATTTCAGTGTCACTACCTTACAGTAAAACCCCAAAGAGGCTGAAGCATTCCTCTCAGCTCCACAGAACCACTCTCCTGTGCCTCCAGAGCAACCGTGGAGTTGCTCTCCCAGTGTTTTTCCCAGCTGTTGTTAGCTGAGATAGAGGAAAACTTCACTTTTGCTGCTCTGAAGGCTTTTACCATGGAAAGTGGAAAGGAAAAAAATGGTGCTTTGTCCAGTCAGAGCACTCAGCACCTGGTGTCAGTGACTTCTGTGTGCAGGGAAGCACAAGCTGCTGCTGCCTCCAGCCCATGTAGCCCAGTCTGAGCACCAGCTGATGGTCATTTGAGCACGGAAAAAGGGCCTGCGTTGGCCTGGAGTCAGTGCAGTGAGGGATGCTGCAGACACCCAGGCAGGATGGGGCCCTGTGAGGGTGCTGGGATCAGCCAGGAAGGCGGCAGCCCCCCCGTTAGCATCCCTGCAAGGCTACACCTCTGCAAAGTGCCTTCACAGCGTTAACCCTGCTGCACAAGGTCCCTGCAGGTAGCTCATTAAGTTGCGTCTTCTTCTGAGAGATGAAGCTGGGGAGGAAAAGAAAATGAGGGCAAAGCGATGTAATGTGCCCAAAGCAATGGGAGGAGGCAGTTATCAGCACCCGGAGCAGCAGTGGGCTCTTCCCAGCTCCTCGTCCTCAGCTGCGAGGAGATCAGGCAATTTGGTTTTCCAAATCCTTCAGGGGGGAAAGGAAAGGAAAGGAAAGGAAAGGAAAGGAAAGGAAAGGAAAGGAAAGGAAAGGAAAGGAAAGGAAAGGAAAGGAAAGGAAAGGAAAGGAAAGGAAAGGAAAGGAAAGGAAAGGAAAGGAAAGGAAAGGAAAGGAAAGGAAAGGAAAGGAAAGGAAAGGAAAGGGGAAAGATGTAGGGTCTGCAGGAAGTTTTTAACCTTTTTGTTTATGGCCACTTACAGTCTTTTCTGTTTGCAACAGCAAAGTGGATTTGGCAAGCATTGGGAATGAGAAACGTTCAAAATAAAGGCTGAAAGATAGGGTTGTGGAAAAAATTGTTCTTAGAGATGAAACAGACCCCTGAGTTTTTGCCTTTTTTTACTGCTCTTTTGCACAGCACTTTCATCCACATCTTTGTGCTTAGTAACATCTAGCTAAGTTATTCTTACAAATTAAAATAAATAAATAAGAAAGAAAGAAAGAAAGAAAGAAAGAAAGAAAGAAAGAAAGAAAGAAAGAAAGAAAGAAAGAAAGAAAGAAAGAAAGAAAGAAAGAAAGAAAGAAGGAAAGAAAGAAAAGAAAAACCCCAAACTCTTAATCTTGTTTTGAATTTCAAACCTACAGAAGTCTCAGGGAAAAGTGCACATTTTTTTTACTTTTTTTTTTTTGCACAGACCTACAGCTGCATTTTGTACAACCTAACTTTTCCTCAAAAACCCATCTCTTTCTCTAAGCTTCACATATGGAAAAACACACCTAATCGGGTTAGTTCTGTATGCGAATTCTCTATCTGCCTCAAAGAAGAAAGTCTGCAAGCATGTTATTGTATCAGCGCCGGTCAATAACGTGCTCAGGGTCATGGCATAGCACAGCACAAGCGAGGTGCTGCCCCAGTGCCCGCAGAAACCCACACCGACGGGTGCTGTCCGTGCTGTCCGTGTGCTGGAGGAGACAGGAGGCTGCGTGCAGGAGCTCTTTTGAAGACAGAGGAGCACTGTAAGAAAAATCTGCTCCAGCGAGTCTCACAAGGAAGGCTTTGTGTGGCAAAAAGCTGTATTTTTAGGTCAGCTTGGCTAAGCTGAAGGAGGTGATTTGTGTGTCAAATAGAAGGGGTGTCTGGCTTTTCATCTCAGCTCTTTTGCAGTGCAGACATAAGTTGTGAGCCACGTTGATTACTTTGGCGTGGTGTTTGCAATGGGGATCAACTGGTGGCCAGCAAAAGGCCAGTGCCTGGCCCCAGAAGTTCAACGAGAGATGAGGGGCGACCATAAAACTGACACTTTCCTGCTTCTCTTTTCTCCCAAAACAGTCATTAACCAGCAAGTTCTCAGTTAATGCAGTCATTTTGGTTGATAACAAGATCATATGATGCATAAAACCTGATTTGATTAAGCAGGTCATTTGTGGTATGCCTGGACTACCAGCTAATGCAAGCACGGGTATCATCTGTGTCATGGGTTGGCTAATAGGAGCAGGGAAATTTAAGGTTGGATCAGCAACATAGCAGTTTTTTACTTGTATTTTTTAATTTATTTTTTTTAGGGGGTGTCAGCAAACCGTGGTGCTGATGGAAGTGAAGGAGAACAAAAGCTGGGTGAATCAAAATGAGAGAAGCGCTGAGCAGATGAAGGGTTCCCCACCTTTAGGGCTTCCTAGGACCAACACAGGTATTTCTTAATACTGAGGACACTTTGTAAAGGCTCCTATTTCCACTCACAGCCCTTGAGAAGCCAAGGGTTGAGCATGCTTGATAAGCACGGAGAAGGCTCAGCTCAGCTGAGCTTCACTGCAACTGCACAAAGGGACAAAAGAGGCGTCAAGATCGCCATGTGGAAGACATCCTCATCTCGAGAGGAGACAAGAAATGTGCTCTTGCAGAGTTTGCAGTTCACTGTGAGCAATGAGTTAGCACTATCAGCTCCCTGGGTTGCTCAAGGCATCAAAATAGGATTGAAATGAAGCTTCGCAGTGCTTAGGGTCCTGCAGAGCCCTTCTGTCCGCCGGTCACAGGCCCTCAGCAGAGCTAAGGAAGGAGGAAACCTGGGTGAGGGCAAAGCCAGCAGAGACTTTAGGAGGAGACAGAGGGGAAAAAATATTAAATTGGGGAAAAGATAGAAGGGGAAGAAGCCAAGACATTGTTTTTCAGGTGTAATGCCAGACTTCTCCAATGCTACTGCCCTCTGGAAGGATGAAGTTACTGTGCCCAAGGGATGGGGCAAAGAGGGAATTATCACAGGAACACAGAATATCCCCAGTTGAAAGGGAGCCACTAGGATCACCGAGTCCAGCTCCTACATAGCAAGAACAAGTGATCAAATCCGTGTTGCTCTCCTGTCAGTGTGCCCAGTGGGGTGTTTGCTCTGCCTTTTATCCTTGTGGGTGGCTCAGCGGGTGCTGGGTGCACTCTCAGATGGGCAGCCTACAAGTAAGCCTATCTGCAGGGATGAGCCATTCCCACAACGTGTCAGTAGGTGGCAAAAAGCTACAACCCTTGTGCTAAGCAAGGCATCAAGGTTTTTCCTGCAGGAACAGGAGGTATCTGCAGGCAGCTCCATCCCATCGGTGGAGATGGAGCGTGGGCCTCCTGGCTGAAGGTCCTGCACTGCTGGGATGGAGCATCCCACAAAGGGCAGCATCCCCTGCAGGTCCCCACCCTTTAGTCATCGGGGGACCCCTGTGCCATCGCTTGACCTTCGTCAGCAGGAATTTTAAAAAAGCTAGGAACACAGAGGGCTTAGTCAGTATTTCCAGCATTGGGAAACAACAGGTTTAGGGCTATTGCAGCACAGCGTGAGGTTACCTGTTAGACAAACCAAAACTGGACACGGCTGGTGTTTTTTTAAGCTGATGATGACACTAATCCTCACGTACAGCCTGAAACAGAGCTGCTCACGTCGGTGGTTTGGGGCATTTTTTTTTTTCTTGCAGCTTTGGGTAAGGTGATTGAACCGATCCCAGTTACCTGGCCCACACCTCCCAGTGAGTCAGGGAGGGAAGGGTCTGACGAGGTGAGTGGAAACAGCCTCGTGCCTTTGATGGTGGTTTTTGTGCTGCTGGATGCGTGCGTGCGCTGGGGAAGGGAGGCTGCTGCGTGGCGCTGAGCATTCCCGAGGAGGTCAAAGGTGCTGAGCACCAGGTGGGGCAGGGCCTGGGAGGATGAGAAGATCACATTAATGCAGGGTGCGTGACGAGATCCCATTACAGCACAGAGCTGAGCCTTGTTCTGCTTTGTTTACCTCTCTTTGCTAAGTGTAAGTAAACCACATTTCTGCTCGGGAACAATAAAAGATATTACAGCAAGCCGGGCCTTGAGACCTCCGAGATAACTTTCAGCTTTTTTAAATACGGGGATGAGGTTCTTCAAGATTTCCTGTTGCATACTTCATTGCTAATAATATTGCCAGACTTTAACCATCGGTGCTGACTTTCCCCAGCTCAGCTGGCTGCAAGAGGCCGAGCGCTATCATTTTGCTTCAACATTTCAGCAAAGTCAGTTTGGTTAATTCTGAGTGAGAGAAACTTGCATTTCTCTGTCTGTATTACCATCGCTGCCCAAAGCAGCCTGTGCCCATTTAATTGGGAAGATAAACGCCCTCGTGTGTTGGGGCAGGGGTCTGTCTGACCTACATCTCCCCTACCTCAGGGCTCTGCCCTGTGCTACCTGTGGCCACGTCATTACCTGCATAAAATCTCAATTCTTGGGCATTTTGGTGAAACCTGACAGCTTCAGTTCTTTGAAGGTACTGCACCTGGGCTGGGCAGGTCCTGATGGGGACGGGGTTAGCTCAGGATGGCTCCAGCCTCATCTCAAAGCTGGGAGGAAATCGCAGCAACACCTCGTTAGCCTGCAGGAGAGAGTGTGTCCTCTCCAGAGGGTAACTCATCCCACCGCGGGACGGACAGGGGACATCTCTTCCCCCTCTGCCCATCGCTCTGCACCACCCAAATCCAGCCCAACCTGGGTTTTGTCATCATTATCCACCAAAACTCATCCTGTGCGTTCAGTTGGGAGTGCTTCAGCCTCCCCTGGCCGCAGCAGCAAGCTCAGACAGAGGAACTTGCTGCTCTTGTGCACGACTTGCACCAGCGCGGCGGGTGCTCGCTTCTGTCGAGCAGCAAATTTCCTCCCCTACATAGCTGTCTGCAGTGACTCATCCCTCAAATGACGGGATGATATCAAGCATTTGGAATTGGGAGCTATTCAGAGAAAAACATCTCTGCAAGGCTCTCCTTGCTGAGTCGCAGCACACGCATCGTGGGGTTCTTGTTATTGCTTTTTTTTTTTTTTTCTCCCATCTTCTGTAATTTGTAGAAAAGCCTAAGTTTTATCTTTAGTAATAGAGAAAACATTTTCATTTCCAGCCTCTGGAAGGATGTTAGAAAACATGAGAACAGAATGAGTTGCCGTCTGCCTCTCTACAGGTTATGATGAGTTAACACAAGTGAAAGCAGCTGAAAATCAAACAATTTTGAGCACCAGAAGTAGAAAGCAGGTTTGCCGGCTTTATTGCCTCCATAAGAGCAAATTTTGCACACTGTAAATTGATAAATTAATGCTCAGAGCCCCTTCTCTGCACAGCCTGCGATATGGATCGACTGGTCCACACGCTCTTCTCCGTGGGCAGCACTCTTCCCAAGCGCTGGCAACGTGATTATTGGAAGACTAATCAGCTCTATCTGAGATAAATTGCATTTCCACCAATTATCGCTTAATTGTTGACAGATGGGAACACAGAAGGGAGATATGTCGAATCATTAAGAGGACAGGTGTACAGACAAGTGCCAGATTAATTGTTCCAGCCCATTAAATCATTGACATTTTCAGCCTACCCTCAGCACCGAATCCAAAGCTCTCACGATACTTCCACAACGCCCGTGTTTATGAGGAAAGTTTGCAAGGGCATTTTTGAAACGCAGACTCCAGACAAGGACTCATTAGCCACTAACAGTTCTCCTTTCTCATTAAAAATCACTTCCCTTACTTCTCCTTCTCTGTGCCAGGGTTTGTTTTCTTGGCTTTTTCGTGAACTCGCACACGGCGTGTGGGCTTGCTCCAAAGAGCAGCTTTCTCCACAAAGCGTGCAGACGTGCCGTAATGGGCTGCACATCCAGAGACAGCAAAAAGACAGAGAGGGGGGAAGCCAGGACAGAGAAGCTCAGTGTTGGGCAGCTGTGCTAGAGGCTCCACCTTTGATTTGGGGCTTCGGCTGGGACTTGCATCTCCTGCTTTTTGATATTCAATAAAGTTCAAGAGAGACAAATAGCTGAAAATTGTTGAAACTGAGTCAGCCACAGGTGTCTGATTCCCCTAAATACACATGAAAATGTGTCTTCTGCTCTTTTTCTGGCTATGTAAGCCAGGAGGCTGAGGATATAGAGCTGACATATCCAAAACAGCCTCGTGGAAGGACGCGCTTCACCTGCCCTGAGTCTCCCAGACCCTGCCCTGCCCTGGGCACATGAGAAATGACTCCAAATTGAGTTAAAGAATAAGGGGGGCAGATTTCCAGCAGAAGGACATGGAAGCAGCTGTGGTGGTGACACTACCTGCTGTTTGTAGGGTCCCTGCCCTGTCCCTAATTCCTGGTGAGCAGGGAGGGAGAGCAGCCCCAACTCCCTTCTCATGCATTTGGAAATTCAACATCACTCAGCTAAGACAAAGTCAGCCGAGGCACACGAGGGAAACCCAATCAAACAGCAGCGCAGGGCTTGGGTTAATCAGGTGGTGCCTAAATGAGCGGATGGCACGTGTGTCTGTCTGTCTGTCCGCCTGTGAGTCTTCCAGTCTGTCCCAGCTGGTGGCCAGGCCAGCCAACAAGCTCAGCTGAGGATGTTTTACCCTCTGGTCGGGTTTAGGCAGACCAAGGGGAAAGCAACCCAGGGAGACATTCCCAGGGATTCATTTTATCCCAGAATCACAGAACTGATGTCCTTCACAGCACCATTGCTTTGAATGCATTTGGAGATGGCCAGCACCCTGCAGCACCAGGGGCTGCTGGAGACTCCTCTGTTCCCACCACTCTGCACAGTGCTGAGACCTGAATGCAGTGGGCAAGAGAAATAAAGACAGTGTTTTTGGGAAGATTATCCATAAAACTGGAGGTTAATACTGAATAAAATACGTACATTTCTCTGCCTGGGCCAGGGGAGGAGAGGAAACTCAAAAAAAAAAAAAAATATATCTAAAAGGAATTTCAGAAATGCCAGAATATTTATTTGAAAGACTTCCTAAAGCAATCATTCTACCTTTCATTTTGAACTGCTTTTTTGTGGCTTAGCAAAGGATGTAAGGTTGAAAACAAGCTAGGCGGAAAGGTCGAGTAACTCAAAGGCAAGCGAAATATTTCATCCCAGCTGGAACTTCTGCCGGAACATTTTCCAGCTTCTGTTTATTTTGCCAGCCTCCTCCTCCTCCTCCCTCCACCCCCACGTTATTGTTGCTCAGTCCAAACTTTTTTTTCCCCAGCTGCTCGGATGCAGCCACGTACCCAGACCTGTCACTACCGATCACATCAGCCACCTCCGTGCTTCCCGTGGCCCTGTCCACCTGCCCAGCTCACAGCACCGCTGCTGACTGCAGACACCGTGCCCGCACCCTGGCACCGTGGCGTGGTCCTTCAGCACGTCCCAAGGCACACCGCTAGAAATCCCGATCGAAGAACTCATCAAAGAGAGAAACCCTCTCCGTCCGGGTCCTCACCAGCGCAGGTTTACGGGGAATTTTCCTCTCTTCCCTCTCGCAGCCCCCCGAGTCGGTGCTGGAGGTGTCCCAGGGCAGGTCCCTGGTGCGCGGCTCCCTGCAGAGCCACAGCCCGACCTTGCTGCTGCTGTCATGCTGCCCTGCGAGTCCTCCATCCCCGCTGTCTCCTGGTGGAGAAAATATAAAAAAAATGGAATTCTGCTGAGAGCCATGCCCGGGCCCGTGGGATTCATGTGGCAAACACCACGGGCAGCTGGGGGTGTGGAAAGAAGATCCTGAGAAATCCCAGCAAGACCAGACCACACGTCCAGGCAGGCCAGACATAAATTTGGGATTATATTTGGTAAAATTAGAAAGTTTGGCACAATGCAGTGTGGTTTAGCACAGACCCACGGGTGCGGGGGACATGGTACTGCACGTCTGAAGAGGATTTACTGGAAGGTTCAGCACCTAGCACAGACATTCACCCCCTGGCATGATGAGCGATCACCCCAAAACCCTCCAGCCAGGGGAAACCCTGTCCTGGGGACAAGGTGACAGCTAAGGGCTTTGCCACCAATATCCAACGGGCCCCTGCTTGCTCCTGCATCTTCCCCTAATGATTCAATGATATTCTGTGACATTCTGGTTTTATGCCCCTACAGCTATCCCACAGCTTCCACGGGGAAACTGATCTGATGGTATTTAAGATGCTGGGGAGCTTTACATCTCCTTGGGAAACTATTCTGCTTACCAGGGTCTCCATTAAAATGCTGATTGTGCTCAGCGGGGACAAGGTCTCGGCTGCCGGTGCTGTCACCTCTCTGTCGAGTGTCAAGGACTTTCTTCGGGCTGAATTCCTTGATTTTTTGTTTATTGATTTTTGCCTCCCTGTGGAGATTTCGCCTCAGCTCTGCCTGGGTTTGCAAATGAGTCGTCAGCACAAGCAGCAGAGGAGCAAACACGTTTTAACAGCTCGGCGCGGCATATCGTTAGGGGGCTGGCACGGAAAATAATTACACTGCCAGGTAGCTTAAGCAGGGAAAATCATATTTGCCAACGTGGGTACGTGACAGAACATGACCCGGATGGAGGTTTGTGGTTTCTCCATGGGCTATGGCCAAATGAGGGCAGAGCGCTGAAAAAAATCAGAAGTAATTACTGAACTTTCCGAAGGGGAAAAAAACCTCGTGGGTTCAAGAACTCCACTGGATAAAAAAAGGAATGAGAAGGAGCCTGCAGGAGGGTTTTCCTCATCCCTGGAGCATGGGGACAGGGAGCACCATTTGGAGCTGGGGCTGCCTCTCGGTGCCAGCGTCTCCTACATGTGTGGGACATTCCCCAGCCCAGCAGGGAGGTGTGGGTGCATCCACCAGCCTGGGCTGCTCCCCAGCTTCATCCACACTTCCCAGGCACAGGACTGAGACCTCCTGTCCCATGGGGGAGACCCCGGGATGGGAAAACCCCGCGGAGCCTCAGCATCTCCCCAGAGCCCTCCCCAAGTTACCTCTCGGCGCCGGCGGGTCAGCTCCAGCATCTGCAGCTTGTGCAAGTGCTGCCGCCTGCCAGGGAGGGCTCTCAGGCTCTGCCCGCTCTTCTCCAGAGCCTAGAAGGGATTTGAAAACATAAATAAAGACATCTGCCTGTGCTGAAATGAAAAGAAACAGCTACGGGCTCCCAAACCCACGCCTGGTCCCTGGGGTGCTCCCCGGATGGAGGCAGCGAGTGTTTTCCTGCCTGGCCAATGTGCAGCAATTCAGAGAAGGTTTTCGCAGTGCTTGCAGTTCATCCCACAGCTCTGGGGCACGGTGGAAAATCCTCATTAAAACCATGAATGCGTGTGCTTCTGCCCCCTGCGGTGCTTCTGCTGTGGGCTGTCCAAGTCGAGATCGTGACCTGCAGGGAAGGGAGGCTGCGCGTGGTCGGTGTGGCCCTGCCTCGTCCTCACCTTGGTTTTTGGGGCTTCATCCGCTTGGTGCTGGCTCCAGGGCTTTGCAGGAGCAATCCCCCATGGCGGGCCGGCAGGTTCAAGCCTCTGCAAGTGCAATATTTACAGTGTTCAGCATCCCCTTTCCATTGCCAGCATGAAACCTGATGCGAAACTACCTTGAGGTTTTTCCAGCTCTGCTTCTGGCCTGGCTGCTTGGGTACAGGAAGGAGATCGGCACCTTTAGCAAGTGCTTAGCACACCCAGGTATCACAATTTAATAAAATGTCTCCTGGCAGGTCACCCAAGGCCAGATCCCAGTTACCTGAGACCCCAACCATCAGCCTAACAATGTCAACCCCACTGCTAACCATGCCCCTAAGCACCATGTCCCCACATCTCTTAAACACCTCCAGGATGGGGACTTCACCACCTCCATGGGCAGCCCGTTCCAGCACCCAAATACCCTTTCCATGAATAAATTCTTCCTAACGTCCAACCTAAACCTCCCCTGGCACAACTTGAGGCCATTTCCACCAAGGGCTCCATCCCTAAGCCCTGCTTTGCACTTTACACAGGACATCATTAGCCCCATGGGGATGAGCAGGCACCCTCCAAACGGTGCCATGCCTCTGGCTGGCTGCCCTAAACTGCTGCCAGAGCCTGGGCTGTCATTTTCAAGCATCCTGTAAATGAAGGCATCAATGCAGGAGATAAAAGGCAGCAGCAGTAAAGGAGTGCTGGAGACAGTCCCAGCTCAGCCCAACACACCAAGAGCAAACCAACTCCCTAGAGTCAATGGGAAGCTTCCACTTGGCTTCCTATACATATATAGGCTTCTGCTCTGCCCTATTTTGGGTCATACCAGCAGGTCACCTCCACGCTGGTGTCTCCAGCCGAAGTGGAAGGGATGCTGCCTGCAGCTCCCTTGTTCACCTGCATTTGGAGCAAACCTTCGTGCCCCCGCAGCGCTGCACCACACGTGCTCCTCCCGTCCTGCTCCCCACCCATGCTCACAGCTTGTGGTTGGGTTTTGTGCCCACAAAACCGACTGTGAAGCTGAAGAATAATGGCACTAGATGGCAGCATGTGACACCACAAGCTGCATCGCTCCCAGACGCTGCTGAGGCTGAAGGCAGACGGGGAAGTTTGGGGCTCTCGGCTAAAGTTGTGTCAGGGGCTGGAGCATGGGCCTTGCAAGGGCCGTGCCGTCCTGCTCTGCACTGCCTCTGGAAGCCTTCCTGCAGGGAAAGGGGCTTCTGCTGGCACTTAGAATCGAATCACAGAATCATTAAGGTTGGAAAAGCCCTCCAGGATCACCTGGTCCATCCCCCTACCACCAGTGTCACCCCTAAACCCTGTCCCCAAGCACCAGGCCCAACCTTCCCTTGAACACCCCCAGGGACGGGGACTCCCCCACCTCCCTGGGCAACCCGTCCCAACGCCTGCCTGCTCTCTGAGCAGAAATGTCTCCTCATTTCCCACCTCAACCTCCCCTGGCACAGTTTGAGGCCATTCCTTCTAGTCTGTAGCAGCAATGGCCAAAGCACAGGGTGGGATTAGCAGCAGCTTTGTCCTGCAGTGGGTGTTGCCAGTGCCCTAACAATACATAAACACAGCCAGGACAAAAATAAGATCAACGACTATAAATAATACATGTGGCTAAGAGATTTTTAAGCAAGGCTGTGATTACACGTGGCAATTTACAGGGCGTAGCTGGGCTCATTACTGCCTCATCCTCCCACCGATTCGGGACACGTTCCTCACTCAGTGCTGCGTATTTTAATTCCAGCAAGGAAGGCTGGAGCACAGCACCCCTGCTCCAGGGGGGTCACCTTTGTGCTACACATGCAGTGGACATTTTGATGAATTTTGGGGGAGCACAGAAGCTCTTGGGGACAACTGGGATCGTCGGTGTGGCAGGGCTCTCAGAGCAGGGCAGGGAGGTGAGAAGCTCGCCCAAGGGACTGGATCTGCAGTGGGTTGACCAGCTGGGGACAACATGGCTCTGCCAGGGGAGCCCCTCAAACCCCTTACTTGTGGTCGCCGAGGCGGGTACAGTTTGATGATGCTGCTGCCTCCATCTGCCGGCACGGTGTCAAAGGAAAGGGGCCCTTAAAGGTTGGAAAAGAAGACAGGGGTGAAGTTACTTTGGGGCCATCAGCTCCTAGGCTGTACCCAGCGAGAGTTTTCTGCCCTGTTTTGTGTTTGGTGCATCCCACGCCCATCTCTCTCATTGTACTCTGATAACACCAGGCATAAATCATTGTTAGCTGCAGAAATAACATGTGGATGTATCCATGCCTGTGGCTGCTAACAGCTCTGCCTGCCATGTACCTCTCTCCTTCCTTCTACAACCCCTTAAATACCCTATACGTGACCACAACCACCCTCCAGCAGCCTTGTCCAGGCAGCCATTCAGGTCCCTTCTTGCTGCTGAGTCCCTGAGACATTATTATTATTACTACTAATAGTAACATTATTATTATTATTATTATTATTATTATTATTATTATTATTATTATTATTATTATTATTATTATTATTATTATTATTATTATTATTATTATTATTCGGTGGAACTGAGAACCATCCCTGGTGTTTTTGCTGGCCGCAGAAGAAGTGGATGACATTCAGCCCTTCATCTTTTTTGGAAACCAGCCCAAAATACACACGTGGAGGGGAACGTGCTGCACTCCAGCGATCCCCTGTTAGTCATTAAAGCCCTGCTTTAACGAGGCTGAGCAGTGGGTCCGGATCCGTTCTGCGCCATTGGTCTCGGATGGACGCTGCTGCCTATTTTTTTGCTTGCACAAACAAACACACTGGCAGTAGCTATTTCTTTTACAGTTTCTCTATCCTTCTTGCCTCCCCAAAACCAGCCTCCTTGTGTTTGGGTGCCTTTTTTTAAGCAGTGATTGAGCTCCCATGTGGCAGAGCCCCAAGGTGGCCACCACGGTGTGCAGCCTCCAGGGAGGGGAATTGGGGATAAAACGCAGGAATTTGGAGTGGAAGCTGGGGAATGGCTTGGAGAGACAGGGAATGCGTGTTTCATTAGGGATAATGAAAAACCTTCCAAAAATTGTCCATTTTGCCTTTTTTTTTTTTTTTTTAATTTGCACTTCAGGAACAACAGATGCCCCCCCACTGGAGGAAGAGGAATTTAACCAAAATGAAACCTTGTAAAATAAACAAAACCTATCCTCTCGGAGGCTGTGCTTAGTTAGACAGCAGGCCGAGCTAATGCATCGCTCACGTAGTTTTGAGAACACACTTCTAAAAATGAAACAGGTGAAAGAAAATGGCATTTACTGATTTTTTTTCCCTTGCCTGTGGGGAGGTTTTGGGTACAGGAGGTTTGGAGCACCACGCGCATGGACACACACTGCTACGGGACCGGTGCCTTGTGGGGTTCCCCCGCTGCGAGGCATGGCTCTGATTTATTTTAACACTGAATTTTGCCTGCTGAGCACCTTACCCAGAATCTAGCTCTAATTAAAGTAATATCGACAAGTCCAGCAGTGCACGTTATGGGGTTGCTCTGTGAGAGCCCAAGGACCACCCCCCTTGCCCCTTACCTGCGGAGGCCCTCCCGTAGGAGGTGTTGCGGAGAGGAGGGAGCCGCCCATGAAATTTGGGGGCTCCCCATTCCCCCACGGCCGGCGGGTACAGGATGGGCCCCCCCAGCACCCCAGGGTGCGGGATGGGGTGAGCGGGCAGGTCCTCGCTGGAGAGCATCGGTGCCACCCTGGTCACCTTGGGGTGCGCCTTGGAAGAGCTCAGGCCCATGGCGCAGAGCGGGGGCTTTGGGAGAAGGAAGAAACCTCGTGCTGTGCCCCCAAAAAGGCAGAGAGATCCTCTAGCACAGGGCTCCCTGCTGGCTGCCCAGCTGTGGGCTGGCTCCCACGGATGAATGCACCTGTGTGTCCTTCCCAGGGGGGGTTAAACATTGACTCGGCCCTGGGAATGTCCCAGCAGGGACAGGAGGAGGCCCAAACAGGCCAGAAAGACGGCGCCAAGCTTTGCTTTTCACCTGCAAGTCACTTTCAGCAAGCAGCACCACCACAGCTGGTGGCCCTGGAGGTATTTCTACAACTGTTTCTTTGGCTAAATCTTCAGTCTTTGGAGGGAAATTCAATGCTCAGAGGATTAAAAGGGTTACAGCAAGGATTAAAAGGGTTACAGCACCTCCAGAGCCTGCCCCGGCGTGGGAGAAGTATCCTCTCTCCCTGCTCCAGGCCTCGCACAGAGTGGTGGCACTGCTGGAAAAATTCGTCACCCACCCTGCCTGGTGCACGGTTTGCTTCAGGTTTTTTGTGTCCAAGGTTGGCAAATCTGCAGGGGAGATTATTCCTGAAACAAGATTCACGAGTGCTGGGACCAACATCCCCTGCCAGGGGTGCCTAAAAGCCTAAGGATCAGCTGCAAAACCCCACAGTGCTGGCCTGAAAGCACTGCTCAGCACCTTGAGGCTGCATCCATCGAGACCAGAACCTCACAGTGAAACCCGTAAAGCCCCCACACCCCTGTACATCAGGGCTGTAGGGCTGTACTTCAGCATGAGCTGTGCGTGCTGCCAAGGATTGCTTTAAGCTGGGAGGTGCTCAGCTGTGAGGGACCCCACGCAGCTCCTCCCAGGAGCCCTGGGACCTCTTTGTACCTTCCTCTCATTTCGTTTATTGCCCAAAATCCTCCACTAAATTCAGCTAGGACTTGTACATGCTGGCCTTGCCTAAAGTGGGTTTTCCAGCAAATTTATTAAATTCAGAAAGAAATCATTGGCCTGCAAGTGTTCTGATGCTCTCATTTTAAGGAAGATGCATGGAAAATCCCAAACTACTGAGCAGCAAAGGAGAACCAAGGGAGGATTCAGCACGGAGCACCTGTCCCATGCACAGCCACAACCATGGGCTGCGTCTCCCCCATCTGCCTTGAAAAGGTGTTTTCTCCTTGAAAAGGTCTTTTGAGTTAATGTCACAGCCTCATGTCCTGTGTTTTTGTTTCCAAAATGCACATCTTGCTCCAAAGCCCAGGGAAGGCAGCCACTCCAGAGCATCACGCCTTGTCACCACGACTGGGGTGGGGGAAGCTTAAGGTCCGAAAGGAAAACACCAGGAAAAAAATCCCCGGAGGAGCAGATGTTGGTGTGAGTGCGCGCAGTGGGATAAGTGTGCTTTGTGCTTTTCTTGCCAAAATCCTACCTGCATTTCATGGAAATCCCTGAGGGAGGGAGAGGAACCATGAGAATAGGGTTGTTGTCATTTATGACATTTGCAGTGTGTTTAGGGGCGGTGGCGAACAAATCAAGCAACAACAAGAGGACAATAACCCAGCATCGTTTCACTGGCTGGGATCCACGCTGGTGAAGGGGGCCACAATAACAACAAAACAGCCTCAATTTATTGTCTCATTTATTGTTTTTAATGAGATTTCTCTCGTTGAAAGGCAGAGCTGCACTCTGAAAACAATGACCCTCCTCGCTTTGTAAGAGGAGTGGCGAAAGCCTCCTGTTGCCCTGCTTCCACCCTTGGTCCTGGATAGTGCCCAGGCAGCACAGCTGGCCCCAGGGGAGGGCTAGGAGCCTGCACCCCATGCCTGCCAGCCCCACGGCTGCAGCTTTTGCCTGCTGGGCCACTGGGGCCATCGCTGGCCCCCAAGGACAGGCTGGGAGCACGCACCAGGGCTGCTGCCTGTGCTAGGCCTCACGTCGAGCCCGCCTTTTTGGGCTGGCACAGCAACGTGTTCTGCCCTGAAATGTCTCAGGCAGAGAGAAACTGACTCGAACGCTGGGATTTCATGTTATTTTCCCTGCTGAATACTCAAAGAGGTTCCTTGAAGGATCCAGTCCTGTGCCTGAAGATGCTGCCAAAAGGTCCTCATCAATGCGTACGAAAAGGAAATGTTTGTTTTCCCCATGTGTTCAGCTTGGCAGGAACTAAAATTTCAGTAAAACACATCTCTAAAGCTCTCTTTTAGCGTAAATGAATATATTGGCTCCAAAATCGGCTCGGGGTGGTGCTCAAGCAGCCATGTGCCCTTTGCTCTCAGCCGCATCATCCCATCTGTATCGCCTGTTCCACACGGGTCACCTTTTCAAGATATTTTTAATGACTGACTGCTTCAAAAGCAGCGGATGAAGCTCTGAGCCCATCTCTTCAAATGCTAAAAAGACATTTAAAAGACTACGTGTGCACACAGACCTTACACCTCTGGGTTTAGGGGGATGGTTGTTCGGGTGGTTCTTCCAGCTCCTGTTGTGTAGCCATGTGATAAAAGAGCCTGAGCTACGGTGTTTTGTTAGTTTTCAATATAAATGTGTATTTTGTTAGCTCTGCTGGTTGCAGCAAATACTTTATAAGGACAAATATTACAGATAAAAACCATCAGGTAGAAGAGAGTCAAATTAAAAGCTGCATTTGTAATTATCGCCACGAATGGCTGCAGTTGCAGCAGCATTAAGCCCTAACGCCCATGGGGACAGGGTGATTTCTGCACCACGCTCTGGCCCCAGCCCTGCCACAGCTGCTCCTGGGCTCACGATGCCGCCAGCATCCCCCCCAAATTGTGGGGTTCATGTGGGACCCCGCAACTCGCAAGCCCACATGCGCCCATTGAGAGGTGAGCTTGTGATCAGCACCCTTGTACATTGTGCTCTTGCTCTTATTTAATAACAAATAAACATGGTTTTTGCTATTTATATAACCAATAGTATTCATCATGAACCCCTCCTTAATCTTTTTTTTTTTTTTTTTTTTTTTTTTTTTCCCCTCTGGCAGAAATACTGTCAAAAAAAGCCCTCCTAACTGGAAATCAAAAGCTCCAGTGCTGGGCAGGCTGGTAGAGTTCAGCAATCTGCACTTCTTTCCATTTGTTTCTACTCTTCTTAAAAAAATAAAAATAAAAAAAAATAATTGTTTTTGTTTGCATATCAGGTGCTCTCAAATATAAAAGTCATCTTGCATGATTGATCCTAGGAATGCTGCAACAGAAAACAGCCATCCTAAATTACACAGTGAGTTAGGGAAGGAGCTGGCTTGGCTGGTTTGTTTGTTTTGGCTTTTGAAAGGTTTTGCACTGCAGAACTTCTTAAGAAAAATATTTGTTTGGCCCAAGGGAAAAGCTCTAGAAAATGGGAACTGGCATTTTCCAGGGATGCAGGGATGCTGGTGATTCGGGGTGCTCAATCTCTATGTGAGAAGCTCGTTGTTCAGCTGGGAATGCAGTTTTTCTGCAAGGAAAAAATGAATGAATAAATAAATAAGCCCTGAGTGAGGTCGGTTCTTCTGCTGCGTTCAGGAAGGGATTTCTTGCTTCCAATAAACCGGGAGGGAAGGTGTCCTGGCAGCGCATGGCTGTGTCACTGTCCCTGCTGATGTCCTGGCTGTCACGTCAATTTGGGCATCAGGACTGAGCCTTTGATTTCCACTGCCTGCAGGCACAGCACGTAATGGAGAGGAGACAAGCGTGCAGCACCAGAGGGCAAGCAGCACTGCAGCATGTCTGTTATTATGTGTGGAGTAGCTTTCATCACATATTTCACAACAGCGTAACCTAATGAAAGATTAATTCGTTGCATGACACGGGATAATTAGTCTGATAAAGATCCCTAATAACAATGTGAACATCAGCTTCCCTCACAAATGGCTTCTTGAGACTTCTGTGAGAGGTTTGGAGCTGCTTTCCGAACCCACTGCCTTACCAAAAGATTGGTATATTTTGAAGCTAAATTCACACGTCCACGTTTGAGATTTAGCTGGAAATGTCCAAAATTTGTATCTTTGAGAACAGTTCTACTTTTGCAGAAAGACCAGAAGACCAGTGATGTAGACTTCATCCATATTTTAAACCTACCAGCTCAGTAAGACAGGAGCTTAAATGGTTTTTATTAGAAAACGTTTTATTGTGGTTATTTACACCCTTTCCTTGGTAAGTGTATAAATGTAAACATTTATTATAGATGTATTTCTCTTATCTTACATCCCCAGATCAGAGTAAATGTCATCGTTAAGCATACAAGGAGTGAGGAAATTTAAGCTATATTCACAGAATATACATCCGCGTGCAGTTCAAGTCCGCCAGCCCTAAGCTAGTGGTATAGACACTGTCCCGTTAGCTCTACTTCTGCTTCTCGTGTGTACGCTGGAGTCTGTGATGTCGTCGGCGTGATCCTCGCTCTTCTTCTCCTTTAAGCTGTTGATGAACCTCAGGGTGATCTCATCCCACTCCTCGGGGAGCAGCATCAGCAGAAACCCGATGCAAATGATGATGGTGGCTCCCAGCCTCACCACGCTGAAGATCATTTTGTGCTTCAGGAGATCCACGGCTGCGAAGGAGAAACAACAAGGTTGTCAAAACGGCAGCAGGATGAACCACAGCATCAGAGCAGCCTGGCAAAAACCTGTGTGTCATGCTCTGGCTGTGACACAGGCCACATCGCCCCCAGTGCTCTGGTGACCAGCTCCTAGGGTTCAGAGCACGGCCTCAAAAAAGGAAGCCTCAAAAAGCCAGCTTAGCCTCAAAGCTTCCCTTTCTGCTCTGAGAGGGAAGGTGTTTTATGGTAACTCTTTTATCTGTAGCAGGCTGAATCAGCACAGCACTTCCTTGTGCTGCAGAGGTCAGCGGTAGGGAGGTCAGGGAGCTGGAGATGATGTCTCCAGGCCCAGCCTCCCAGCTCCACGAGCTGCAGTAACAGCACATCTGAGCCCTTCAGCAGCCTCGTCCAGGTACCGACAACCACATTTCACATCTCTGACCTGAACACCCCTATAAATAGCTGTCTGTTTGAAAACATGCTCAGACACCTCGAGTTGCAAGGCCAGGGAGGTGGAAGAGGAGATCAGAAGAGCAGAGACAGCAGCTGTTCAAGAAGAACGAGCTTTGGCCAAAAATCCCACGTACACTCCCTGCCCTGGTGCTGCACGGCAGGTCACCAGCATGGTGCTGAGCCACGGCAGCAGGATGCTGCCCCCTGCCACGTCTCAGCAAACGTGGTGGCAACCAGCCTGCCCTCTCCTGTGCACAGGATGGACATACCCCATCACTTCCAGGGCAAAGAATAAAGATTATTAAAAAAGGCTTTTACTAACTGAAACACCCCCCATCACCGGGAGCAGCTGTGAAGGTGAATGAGACGGGATCATTTGTGAAATATGTGGCAGCAGATTGTGAGCATTTAGACAATAAAGTGCTTCTGCTGTGTGTGTGCCACTGCGTTTGTTTCTCTTTCAACCAAGGAGCTCATTACTTGTACCTGCATTGCCAGGGACGCTGAGCACCGTGCCGATAGAGATCAGGATGGGGTACGTAAGCACGACGCCAACATTAACCAGAATGTTGAATGCTGGGGAAAAAAACAGATAAAATAATATGTGATTATGCAGAAAAGCACTAGAGCGAGGCATTTCTCCTCCACCCTGACCCTCCAGGTGTGATGGGGTGATAGCAGCAGGGAACCCAGACTCTAATGGGCACTCAACACAATTACCCTGTGAAGCTGACCAAGCACGCTGTAGTGAGACCACGGTTTTGCTGCTATGTTGAAGGCAAGCTGAAAGCTGAGAGAAGTACAAATGCTCAGCACCTTTAATTTATGGATTTATGGGGCGTTTTGTTTTGTTTTTAATAACAGTCTTCCCAGCCAGCTTCAATTTTCTTGAGGTATCATGAGCAAATTGTAAAACTTCCCTTTCATACCATCCTTCAGGGTGCTGCCATAAGGGAGGCAGCAAGCTCTCAGAGCCAAGGCTGGTGCTGAGCAATGTGGCACTCCCTAAACATTCCTCCTCTGCTGGTGGCAGTCCCCTGTGTGGAAGGAGCAGGTCTGTCTGCTCCACAGTGCTGTTTCCTCCTGCTTGGGGTTATATTTTCAGGCAGTGCTCTGGGTGGTAAGTCATCCCTGTATTTTTCCCCTTGGGTGCTGACAGAGAAGCTGCAGCTCAGGTTGGAGTTGCTTCAAGGAGTGGCAAAGGCTTGCTCTTGACACCTCAGCCCCCAGTCCTGCCACTCTGTAGGATGGCTGCACTATGGGCTACGTACTGGCAATGGCATCCTCTTTGTTTCCATTTAATATACTTGCAGTGGAGACAAACCTCTACAATTATGAAATAATTGAGACGTTAGTAAAGGAAAGTGTGTTCGTATACCTCTAAATTAAAACACCCTGGGCTGAATCCAACAGCTATTCTGCCTGGCTACAGGATAGCCTTTGGGGCTCTGAAAGAAGCGTTGTGGAAGAGAGGAGGGGAGGTGGAGGCTTCAGGAAATGACACAGACGAAGTGTCCCACCCCAGCGGGTCTCCATATCGGTGTGTGCACACCAGTCCACATCAGCGCATGCCAGGAGCTGCTTGAGTACATGCAGCCCTTTGAAATTCGATTTACAGCGATCAGACTGTGCCAGAGACAGGGAAATATCAATAAAACCACTGTAGGAACGCAAAGATGAGACGTGGACAATGAGTAAGGCTGCTTCGTGTTTATTCTCTGCTACTAATATTCGTGTTAAGGCTTCCTATGAAAATTGTTAGTCACTCACCAAGGAGTACCCATTTGCACTGGGACCAGATTTCACTTGTGAGAGCTTTGCTGCTAATCAGGGGGGAAATATTTGTGTCTGAGGCTCACTCGGTACTGGGGGCAGGAGGAGGAAACAGAGAAACGAGTACTTGTGTTATCACATACCTAACCAGAGGCCAGCCACTCCGCACAGGTAACCCCAGGGCACGGCAGAGAACGGCGACCAGTACTCCACTTTGGTAAAGTACAGTATGATGGGGGTGACCGAGATGAAAATTAAATTGAAGAAGCCCAAGGTGGAGACAAAATGAGCGGCCTCCCCGAAGTTTGCACTGCCAAGGAACATCTTGAACAAAACCTGCAAAGGAGAGGAAAGAGGCGGGGTTTAGGCTCATGTCTGCCCTGGAGATCGAAGTCCTCCTGCACAGGGTTCTCCTCTCCTTTGGGGGGAGAGCTGGGCACAGGGGCAGACCTGACCAGGACAGGGTGCCACAGCCCAGGCTTTCACTAAAGAAGAGTTTTGCAAGGGAGATTTGGGGAAGATTTCTGCCTTGTTTTAGCTCAACGAGAGATAATCTGTTGTTACTAACAGGGGGAAGGTTGAGTCTGTACAACAAAGCTTAGCACAAAGTGCAAAGAGGAGTGGGTGTAAGTATGAACCTAAAGAGACAATGTGGTCCTTGCAGTGAAAGTTACTGGAGGGGGGCTGTGAGAGGAATGTCTAGCCTGGAGAAACTCACTTCAGACTCTCTTCAAGGCAGCACGAGCCTTGTGGAGGATTTGCCCTAGACAGCCCTAAGTTCACACACTTTGAGGGACTCACGAATGCTCACAATAAATTTATCAGAGGCAGCAAATCTAAAACCAGGAGGCAACTCCTCATCCTTCCACACTTCCTTGTCTTCACACACACTCTGCCCTCCCTGATCTGACCATACCCACAGCCACCTTTAGCCCGACCTGCCTCCAGGTCAGACATCCCTCCCTTCCCCACCCCTCACCTTCAAGGGCAGCCACTGCTTTCACACAGCGGGGGCAAAGCGCCGCCCGTCTGCAAGGCACAGGCTGCACCAGGGGCTCGCAGCCTGGCACGAGAGCAGAATATGCAAGAGAGCTGCACTGCGGACCGGGGACGAGACATCTGTCCTCGCTGGAGGAGAGCAGCGCTCGCCGCATTCTCCCTCTCCTCCCGCTGCATATGGCAAGCCCGTCCGAAACGGTGTCAAGAAACCGCGGCGGCAGGAAATGATTAAAACATGATACCGAGCTCCCGGCGGCATAATAATGGGGATTTCATTAAAGGCTCATAAAGCGAAGGCACGCGGAGCATTCGGCAGCTCCAAGCTAATTGCCCTCCTAGTAAATTTTCTGACGTTGTGACATTGCCCGGGCACAACGCGCATGATGCAGGAGGGGTGAGGAAAATCAAGCGCTTATTTCACAGGGATTCGCTTCCTACTTGTGCGTTTTTAACATCCAGCGTTACAGAAACAAGAATATTAATAAACGGTTGTGACCTACCTTATATAATGCAGACGTAGAGGCTGATCCAACAGCATATGCTACCCCGATAATTGAATCGCCCTGGAAACCATCTGCATATGCCATCATTACGATTCCTGTGATTGCCATTATTGCTGCCACTATCTGCACAGACAAAGCAAAGCGACGTAAAGCTCACGGCAGTTTCATTACACGGGAAGAGATTATCGCTGTGTGGGGTTTCAATGAGTGCCACTAGCTGCTTGCCCTGACTTCAAGCCTTACCCATTTCCCTTAAATAGGTGGTTATGAACTGCTGGGAGAAGCGGAAAACATAATGAAAGGCATCCACTTGGGAGATACGACTCCAAGAAATTGTAAGATGTTGTGCTCAACTATACAAGGGGACAAATATTCAGCAAAGCCACCAATTCGACCAATTTGAATTGAAATGCAAGAATTTTGAGGGACAATCCTTCTGGACAGCAGTTCAGGAGACTGCTCCCTGAGCTGTGTCTTTAAGAAGCCTTTACCATTGTGCTTAGTTGGTGTTAGTTTTTATTTGTTAATCATTTTTTTTATTTTTTTCCTTTTGGCTTGGTTTGGTTTGTGGGGGTATGGTGGTTGTTGTTGTTTATGTTTGTGTCCCTCATCTGAAGAGCCCAGACAGAGCTTCTAAGAAACTTCAAGGACAAAGAACAGGACTAAGAATCTGCACCACGTCTGAAATCCTTGGTCTTGACTCCAAGGAACTCCAAGCAGTGTCAGGGATCCCTCCATGAAAAACTCCTTCTCTCTGCCTAATTGCTCTAAGAAGGTAAATACAGAGTCTAAATTTCGAAGGTGCTGAATAATTAAGTTCTGCAGACTTAAAGGAAAACGCATTTCCTCAGACCTGTGGAAAATTACAGCCCCGTTTCTGAAAGATTTTTGTATAGATTTAAAAAGAATTACAGTGACATTGAACAGTTTGTTGTTATAAAAAAGGTCTCTCATTTACTAGAGCTCAGTGTAGAGCAGAGGATGCACAACTGCAGATACCCAGGGTTGGCTGTTACAGAATCACCAGCAGTATGTAAGGATCAGACACTTTTCTGTCATCAGATAGCCATTAAATCACACAACTCCCCAGTGAGAAAGAGGAGAATGGCCCTCTCCATTCATACAAGCTAAGAAACGAATGTGATTATCCTTGACAGTGTAACTGTGTGCCTCCCACAGGCCAGATGCAGCAGACGTGGCTCTGGGTCAACTTCAAGGCTGGCATTTGAAATTCAGGTCCCCCCGGCCTAATGGCGAGGGCTGGGGTCCCATCTATGCTCGTATCTCTCAGGTATAATGCAAAGGTTCAATGAGGTTTGGAAAAACTTTAGGAAGAGGGGACAAGGTGTGTTCCCTCCCCTTTCCTGAATAACAGCCTGGTGGTCAGGCCGCTCTGGAGAAGGGCTGAGTCCCCTTGTGTCCCCAAGACTGCCACCTATTTCTATCCAAGGACTTCAGAGTAAATTACAGTGAAATTCTCTTAGAAGAATGAGTTTCTGCCGCATTTCAGGCTGCCCCCAGCCCCATCCAGCCTGGCCTTGGGCACTGCCAGGGATGGGGCAGCCACAGCTCCTCGGGGCAGCCTGCGCCAGGGCCTCAGAGTGAAGAATTTCTTCCTCATATCTAACCTAAACCTCCATTCTTTAACTTAAAACTGTTCCCCTTGTCCTATCATTACACTCCCTGATAGACTGTGTAATAATTCTGTAATTCTGCTGTTCCTCCTTATGGTTTACCCCAGCATACGAACACCACAAAGGCCCAGCCTGGCAGCAATGCAGAATTAGACCCAGGACCCTTCAGAAGCCAGCACGACACCTCCTGTTCGTCCTCAGAAGCCTCCCCGTTGCCCTGCTGCTCTGCACGTCTGTTTTAATCTGCGGCAGCGTTATCCATCTTGCCTCGCACATAAATTCAGAGGTAGCGTTTCAGCTGTCGGCTGCGATACTTCAGCAGCAATATCTCAAGCAGTATCTCCCACCAGACAAAATAGAAAAGCCCGATAGCTGTGCCCTTCTCCAAATGGAAAGGATGAAGATTTAACACCCCAGTCCAGCAGGCGAAACCTTGCCTTGTGCTAGGGCCGAGGAGTAAATCCATCATCCCCGCGGGGAGATCCTTCCTGGTGGGAAAAACACCTCCCCGCTCCGACCACACCAAACTCAGAGAGACAGCTTCCTAATTTAATCAACGCTTTAGAAATCCAGCCGCCTTTTCCCCTGAAGCAACCAAAATGATGGGCACTACGGAGCATCACCTCGTGAGATTTCAGATAAATATATCCTGATATGGGAGAACACTATTTAAACCCCGTGTTGGAAGCTCTTCCTGCAAATCACACATCGCTGCATTAGCACAGTTGACCTCTGCCTGGCGTTTGTGGCGTGTTTGCTTTAGGAACCTGCGAGCACGTCCTGCAGGCTGCTGTGAGCTGACGAGCAGCAGCAAGGTCACACAGCAAAGCCGGCTGTTGTAGCTGACAGCTCGTTAAACGAAGCTTTTAATTAACAGAGGAGTGTAGTAACTTTCTTGTGGAGCCTCTTAGAGAAGGAATGAAACCAGCCAGCCTCTTTTTTCTTTTTTTTTTTTTCCTGGAAGAGAGCTGGGCCAACTAACATTTTAGTCAGGAACATTTGTTTTTCCACATGGAGCATAGCAGAAAATGGGGTGCTGCAGTAAAGAGGAAAACTGTCCCCAGACCATTCTGCACCCACCTAACAAGCATTAATTCAGCTTCACAGATGAAACACAACCAAAGGCTCAAGTCTCGAAACTTTGAAGCACATGGCTACCGCTAAGCATCATAAACCAACAGAGCTATTCAAATACATCAAGTATTTTAAATATTTGTGCTCGCTCTGAGCTACAGCTGTCTGGACTTCCCCAAGTCCCAGAGTAACGTGGATACAGGCTGCCTTATTAATTCATGAGACATTCACAAGTGGCCAAGCAAACCAGGCTATGGTGCAGGCTGTGCCGTTTCCCTGGGCAGTGCAGTAGGTGCTCAGGGTGGCCAAGGGTCTACCTGCACTGAAGCTCTGACTCTTTGCACTTTTATAGCTAAATAGCCACACGTTCATTGCTGTATACATCACCCTCGTATGAATATTCTTCCTCCGGAGTGAGTTTTTCTCTCTGAGGCTGGGTGCAGGCTCCTTCCCACACTACAGCATCCCTGCTGAGAGCACTGCAGAGTGACTCCAGGTAGCAAAACGCAGCCAGGGCAGCTGCATGGAGCCCCTGCAGCCCTCCTGCAGCTGATGCTTCCACAAGCAAGTCTCTGCTGCACCACGAGGTGACTACCACGATGGGTTGCTCTTCAGACAGCCCACCTGAAAACCCAGCTCCCAGCGGCTGCTCTCTCAGGACCCAGGAACCAGCAGGGAGCTGGCAATGCTGACGATCTGCTGCAGAGCTTCTGAGCTGTCACAGCCGCTGGTTCTCAAGCCCAGGCAGCCGAAATCTGTCTCAGGTACACGCACCGGCTGCTTCCCCACCACGACACGCTGCAGACATGCCCTGCGGCTCCACGGCTCTCAAAGAGCTGCTGGGAGCTGAGCTCCTTTGAAAAAAAAAACCTGGCTGTGCTCCTGGCTGCTGAGTGCTTCTGTACAAACACTGGCTCAGGGTATATCATTACCCTTATTTCTTCTCGTCCCCTCGCTGTCCAAATAACCTAATTACACCTGCTGTCTGAGAGCCTCGGGAGCGAAAGGAGTGGATGCATTCAAAACACACGAGGCTGGGGCCGTGCTGCTTTGTCGTATTTCAGTTCTCAAACACTTTCCTGCGTGGTTATTAACATCATTAAGTGCTATTCTGGCAGGAGGGCTGCTGGAAAACGCTGCTAATTGCCCTTCCAAGCACGCTGCATACAGAATCTGCCAGTTAGCAGCAAAAACAGTTTCTTTTACGTGCAGGATTTGCTCTTCACTTCTTCTGCCAGGATTTTTGTACAAACCTCACGGTGTTTACAGCATTAATACCAATGCATATTTATAACAACTTTTTTTTTTTTTCCCAGTCAGTGAAAAATGGATAATAATTGAGGATAGCCTTAGTATTTTTTACCTGTTTTTTTTTTGTTTGTTTGTTTTGTTTTTGTTTTGTTGTTGTTGTTGTTGTTTTTAAGAGAATGGGCTAGGGAAATACAATAGTTGTGTTTGCTCTTCCAGAAAGAGGCTGATTTAGACAAAAACTGTAGCTTAAAAGGTATAAAAATTACTTTTTTTTTTTTTCTGCAGGGCTCAGTAGCACCTTGCACAAGTGAGTAATAACAGCAAGAGGCTGAGATGATCAAGGGACAGGGAGGGAAGTACAGCCTCAGAAGTTACTGCTCCTGTTAAATGCTGTAGAGAGGACCTGAGCATTTCAAACCCTGCTTATTCTTTGAGTTAGGCATCAGTGAGGGTAGGTCACACTCATCTGATGTTTTTACGTTTTATGAAATAGACGTACAGATGTCTGGCTTTAGCTAACAAGGTGAAATGTCCATGTCCTTACCTTCAAGGGAACCATGGCTGAGGTCTATGAAACACCAGGCAACCTCCTTCACTTTGTCTGGTCTGGTTGAATTGACCCTGGTGAGCCATGGACCCTCCACTGAGCCCATCCAACAACCCCCTGCTCGCAGATCCCTACCCATGCTCGTGACAACATGCAGGTGCTCGATGTTCAGCCTCCACGCTATGTCCAACCACCCAGCCAGTCCTGCTGGGAGACCCAAGGGACTGTTTTACATTAAACAGTTCCCTCTCCTGCTCCCAAAGGCCAAGCACAGGGCTCTGCTCAGTGTGCTGCTGTCTGCTCTGAAGGCTACATCAGCTGCCTGCGAGTCAGGATGCCTTGTCCTTTCCTTTCTGAGCCCCTCTACCTCACTATTAACCAAAAAAGTTGGTGTCTTTGTCATTTTTTATAAAAGCCCATTTGGATGAGATCCCGATCCACCATGCTTTCCACAGAACTTACATCCAGCCTGCCCCTTTGGTCCCAGGCATCAAACCTGTCCCAAAGAGTCCCTAATTAAGTTCAAGGCCCTTGGCAACTCAGTAAGGATTGTACCCAACCAGATCACGAGGCCTTGGACCATTTCAGTGGGACAATCTGTATGGGCAGAAACAGCAGAAGGCATACCCAGTCCTTAGCCAAGATAACAAGGGCAACAAGCTAAATTGCTGCCCACTAGGAGATTTGGGTACATAAAATCACAGGAAACATGCTTGCTCTTCCCCAGGTCCATGCACACATAATTTTGCTTGAGTTCTTTTTGTTTGTTTGTTTTTCAAGAGTGAAACATTCCCATATTACTGTCCGTGTGTCCTTTAATGAAAAACACACCCTCATGCAAAGCAGCTGCTGTCACTTTTAAACCCTAATTGACAAATGAATGCATGCGTGAAATGTAATAGGATGCAATAAGAAAATATGCTACTTATTGAAAAAAAAATACCTACTCAAAGAACTAATAAAATTGCTTTGGTTAGAACCTAAGTATTTATCACTAAGTTTAAAATGAAACTAATTGAGTGCTCTTCAGCACTGTAACCCAAGCAGAACAAGTTTATAGGAATTTGGAAGTCCTCCTATTTTAATTTATCTAATTACACTTGGTTGTAATAGCTAAATTTGTATTACCTCTGGAGTCTGACATCTCTAGCCGATTTTAAGGCTGAGGTTCGCATCATTAATCGAAATGAGAAATGGTTTCATGGTATATGCATACCATAACGCAGCAGCACTATGGTAGCACAATAGCTCATGGATTTAAGGGTAGGTATGAAAATGAGAGAGGTGAAAATCAGGCATGTCATTACCCTTGCTCCCATGAACCTGTCTTTCAGCACGATCCAAGAAAGCAAGAAGACAAAAGCTTTGTTACAACAGAACAGGGCAGAGACGTCTGTGGCTGTCAGCTTCTTTAAAGCCAGTAAATACAAGTAGTTAGTCAAAGTCCACAGAATAGAAAAGGGAGCAGTCCTTTTAAGAAAGAGTTTCAGCGTCAAACCGTCTTCACCAAAAATCCGACTGCATTCCCTGAGGAAAGAGAAGAGTTTAAAGCTCAGCTAGAATTGTGCTTAGCATTCACTCCGGCACAGCAGACATTCATTAGACTTTTATCACACTCGATTAAGTGCTTTTCTTAACTACTCTGCGCACCCCTACGAAAGTATCGGTTAATTCACATGGAGCAAATAACCTGCATTTTTCTCAAACAGCAGTTTCCCAAATAGCAAAGAAGTAACTTACCTGGAATAATCACACCGTGTGCAACCACGATCCCAGGGCCTCGCTCACATAAATGAAGGTTATCTATAAAACACTGACAGTTCTCAGCTTCTGCCTCCAAGGCCGTGAACACGATGATTATAACTGCTTTTTTTTTTTTTTTCTTTCAGCTTGACAATTTTTCTCTTGCTTTACTCTGAAACCTGCTTTTATTTTTATTGAAATATGTTCTAGTGTACGGCCAAATAAGCTTGGAGAATCACCTGGGATACTCGGAAACCCTGCTGGCCACATCGCCGCAGGGGGACAGGCATCCACCAGAAGTGGGGCTGAGTCCAGGAAAAGAAAGGAAAGGGGAAGGGAAGCACTTAAAGACTTCTCTTTGTGGATTAGATTGCAAAACACCCTCTAGCTCCATTAGAGCTGTGTGTCACACACTGACCTGAGCAAGTTGTTTGCTTCTTAGGATTTCAAGAAACAGAAGTCAGCTCAGAAGGCTGCCCACCTCTACCTTTCCCAACTGCAAAAGCCAATTTTTAGCAAATCCACCACCTGTGTACTTGGTTAAAGGGACTCCTCAGGATACCATAGTACAATTCAGTTCCTGACTTCAGTGCAGGCTCGCTGGCTTGTCTGCATAAAACAGGAGCTGTCCCACACAGGAACGCATCACAAAACCAAAATGCCAGGGGAGTAAACCAAGGTACCATCAAACCACATCATTACGGGGCGACATTAAGGGACTCGTCGAAATCCCACGTGGCCTCGGGGCCCCAAAGCGTTCGCAGCCAAAAACAGCTGTGGTTGGAAAATTCCTAAAACATCAACTACGTGGAACTAACGAGCAACTTCAAAGAATGCATTGCAAAATAGAGCCAAAAGCACCTGAGGGTTTTGGTGGTGGTGGTGGTTTGTTTTTGTTTGGTTTTGAGATGGGAGGATAACCATTATCCAGTTTTGATCTTGCTTTTACAGGCAGAGTTGTTTTCAGGTGTCCTAAACCACTTTTCCTAAATTTGGGGAGTTGAACTGTTAAAAATATTTCTTTCTTTTCTTTTTTTTTTTTTTCTATTACGAATAGAAACCATCTCATTTTCAGGAAAGCTGAACAATAACATCTACATAATACATAAGATGAGCTATGTCTTACTTAATAACTACTCATTCCCTGCTGCCATTAAAATGACCTGGGGTACAAAGTATTCATTTTTGGTAATAATAAGTTCCTTTCTCAAACTCTGTGCTGGTGTGGGCAACAAGCTAATGCTCATGCAGGTAGATCTGCTAATTATCTCCTTCATTCCATCTGACCTATCTGTTCTCTGAAGTCAGCCCTTTTCCTATAGGTCTGAACAGAAATGTTTTACACGGAAAAAGAACAGCCGGTGGCGTGTATCATTTACCTGACACGCAAAGCAAATTAAGTGCAGCAAACAGATTAATGCCTAAGTTTGAACGTAGGCTGTTGTACCACCGATTTCCACAAGGAGTTAAATGGGATGAAACTCCTTGTCTGAGAAAGGACTCACTGGTAGCAGAGACTGGAGTGTTTGTTGGCTTGCAGATGTAGCAGTCGATGTTTAAAAGATGTTTTTCTCCCCATGAGACTTAGGGAAATGCAGAGATGATTCTGGGCTCAGACAGACGGCCTCTGACCTGGCTGCACCATCGCTGCATTACATGACACCAGGGCTGGTGTTCACTGCCTTGTCAAGAACAGATCTGAATTGTGAGCTGTAGACCTGTATGGAGCCTGATGTCCAAACCAGTGGGAATTCTGCATCGATTTAGAAGCACGATCGGATTGTTACATGGTTGTAAATGCAACCTGTCTCAGACGCTGTCAGGATTTGTCTTAGAGGGAACAAGCTTGTGCTGTATTAAAAGAGAGAAAGGTGCTTGGGCTGCTTGCAATAATGCAGGGCACAATTCACCATCCCAAAGGCAACAGCAAAATCATCCGAGCACGTCACCGTGGCACAATCTGCAAGGCAGCAGGAAAAGCTCTTCTAAAAATGTGCCACGGGAAATTATATCCCTGTAATCCCCGTGCCTGGCAAGGTGAGGCACTGACAGCGGGCAGATAAAAGGGACCGGCAGCTGTAGCTGGAGGCCAGCTGGGCCAGAGTTATGCACGAGATGCTGGGAATATGCCCAGCACTCCTGCTCGTCTGGGGGCAGGAGGCATCAAAAAGTCAAAAAGGGGTGGTGGAGGGGGGAGATGCCAGAACGGGTTGGGTTTTCTTGTCCTGTAGATCTCCAGGATTTCTGTACCCAGACAAACTCCAAGCAGAGCCAGGAGGATGGGGTCCAAAGCTCCCTGTCTGTGAATCCTTGGAAGGAGGAAGCCTTCAGTACAATAGCAAATTTTGTGTTATTCTGGGTCGGGCTCTCTGGGCTGGTCAGCTATCTGGCAGAGACAGCTGTGGCACTGCCAAACACGTCGCTTATCTCTGAGTTCTCAGAAGCCGTGGGAGGGATGAGCACAGATTCACAACTAGGAAAAGAAATCTGGAAAAGCTTCACACGCCCCAGGCAATGAACTGTTCAAGCACATCGAGGAGCCTTCATCACACACAGGAGAATGCAATGACCAGACAAAACAGAGGCCAGTGGTTCCTCATCTGTCAGTTCAAAGAAAAAGAAAAAAAAAAAAAAGCAGCAAAAATTTGTGGCAGGGTCATGCTGAGCAAGACAGAGACCAGACGAACTCACCTCAGTGCCCAGGAGAGCTCCGAGTGCCTGATGAATAATGCTCAGCGAGTGAGGAGATGGGACGAATACTTTATTTCCCCATCCACGTCTACAGGAGATTGCCTTGGGCTTTGTGAAGGCTGGCTGCTCAGTGGTTAACTCAGCCTCTTTGGCATGCAACTAAAATTAAACTTGCAGAAGTCATCAGGACATGACAGTGATTAAAACCCTGCGCTCAGGGGAGAGGGCTCCGCGGATCCCTCCTCGATACAGATATCTGCAGGCTGTTGACTTAAAGGCAGAGACAGATCCAAGGGCGGCTGACCCTGAAACTATGACACAAACTATTTCCAAATGCACAAGAAGTCTATTTAAAACCTGCCCTCTAACACAAATAGCTCCTTTTATTTGCAGGTAGCCCTCAGCCATCAGCTCTGGGCAGCGTGCCATGCTCTCAGGAATTACAGCACCTCAGGCAGACGTGTAGCGTTGCCTCTGGCACCCACCGAACAGCCTGCACCACCTCGTCCTTATTCTGATGCCAGAGCCTGCAGAAGAATAGATTTATTCACCCCTGACGCACGGCAGCCTCTGGAGTGTAATGCAGCAGCTGGTTTTAAAACAGCTTACAGAAAAAAATAACACAGAGCTAACAGACGCTACCTGGGGTAACATGAATATGGGAAATGTAATTACAGCATCCAGAGTAATACTTGGCAGGGCCACCAGTGACATTAGGGCAGCGAGAAGCACTGCAAGACCTTTTGTCAGCACGAGTTGTTCCCATGTCATTCAGTGCTTCTGTCCCAGTGCTGGCATCTGTGCACTAAAATGTCGTCTAGCTCCATCTCAGGGGATGGACACCACAGCTGTGGTGGTTTAACAAACGTTGATGTTTTTCCAGGAATGACCGAGTTCTCATTTTGTGCCTTGTCTAAACATAAAGGAAGAGCCCAGCTTTGTGTGACCCTCTCACATAAGCAGTGTCTGGCTCCAGAAGCACAGGAACGCTGTCTCCCAACAGGAATAGCCCAAGGGAAGCCCTGGTTTTGTGCTGCTGGTCTTCCTCCCTACCATTGACCCATTTCGGGGTAGCTTCAGGAAACACAGATCCTCACGTCTCCTCTGGAAAGACCTTTGCAGTGAAGATCTAGATCTGAGTGCTGTTTCAGAAGAAGAAGAGGAAGCTGGGACGAGCACTGCTGCAACATCGATGGAGACATTTGGAGGTGACAAACTTGCAGATGGCAGAAGACAGCAAAAATCAGCCACTTTGGGTGGGCTCTCTTCAGTTTAAGTGAAGCTCACATTTTGTTGTCCTTTCTCCTACAAAACCAGCTCTTCCCAACATGTTCATCTTTCCTCAAACCCACACCAAGAACGCTCTTCCTTTAAGGCTGCACAGCCCCTGGTGTTACAGCAGGCTATGCTCTGGCAGAAAGCCATGGTACATTACAGAGCTTGTCCTTGAGAAACCAAGACAGGGTGCAGGGAGGCAAAATTTCTTGACATTGAAAATATCTTCCACCTAACCCAAGCCATAACTCTGTCAGGGCCCTACGCCAAGCCCATGAAGTGCTTTCTGCTGTGGGAAATGCCGGCAGGGTGAAAATTCCCACTGCTGAGCTTCAGGACTTTTTGTTCATGGCTGCTGCAAGGACTCCCACATTTCAAGGTCTGCATTATGCGGGACATAACCTGTTATCTACAACACTGGGGAGAGACAAAGAGCTGTGTCTTCCACCTGAAGACAACTAAGATACTTCACAGAAATGCAGCAGGGAGGTAATAACTGTGAGTTAGTTTTTGAGACCACACAATTTAATCTCTAAGGTAACGTATGAGAGGGAAGAAGCACACAACTTACAGTCTGAAGATTATAGCCCTTTCAGGGAGCCAGTGTAAAGCTGAAGACTGAGACTTCCATCCTTCCAAGCGGGATTTATTTGTTGAGACATAAAAAGGAACAACGGCCCTATACAGCTTTACCAGCCTGGGGCAGCACTCTGCAAGTCGCTAGCACGATCACTGGACTCTGCCAAGAAACCTCGACATTGTTTGTTCAGATCCACTGGGAATATCTGCTGGACAAGATGTCATATGTCTTTAAAGCTCACAGTGAGTAACTACATCCTCCAGAAACACGAACACAAATTTCCTCCGGACTCTGAGGCAGGCCTGGAATCGTTACAGGACAGGCTTCACTGGCAGGAATTGGCTACTTGTTCCCCAGAAATAAAACCACCAAATGAAGCAACAAGACATCTTTGTATAATAATAATAATAATAATAATAATAATAATAATAATAATAATAATAATAATAATAAACAGTAGCAGGAACAGTATCAAAACCACAACACAAGTAGTTACTGCAAATTGGTCTAGTTGGAAAATAACCCTGCTGTGGGCAGGAGGCTGGGTTACGTGACCTCCACAGATCCTTTCCAAGCTAAATCTTTCTATAACTCTGAATTTAAAAACTACAAATGATGCTTTTCAATTCTTTAAGTGATCAGAAAACCGAGCAGTCATCCTGAAGAGATTTCCATTCCCATATCTAAGCAGATAGAGTTTGGCTTGTGAAGCCATAGCACAGCACAGACCAAGTCGACTGGTCCCCATGATAAAGTCAACATTTACCAGCAGTTATTTGCCAGATCCTCCCTGGGATTTGCATTCCCAATGCATCTGGAATGGGAAATACTCTGGGAACACGCCTCGCCACCAGCCCATCAGCTCTAGCACTTTGCACACATTCACAAACCAGCTCCACATCTGTGTGCAGAAATTCCTCTGGGCATGTAAGCATGTGTCCTCAAATTTAACAGCTGAACTCTTAGCAGCTTGGGAAATGTATCCATTATTTAAGCATGCCTTTATTATGCACTGCCACGAATGTCTGGACCAAAACTTTGTTCTGATGGATATGTAATCAACCAACCAACTGCTGAGGATCTATCTGCAGGGATGTTTATTCTCACCTTGTTCCTTATTTGCTCTGCATTTGTTATTACTTTACCCCATACCCAGCAGCCAAGCTGACACTGTTAATGTTCTCACAAATACTCCAGAAAGAATCTCAATGAAGGCATCATTAACGTACAAAGCACCAGGGTTTTCAGAGAAGCAGTTAATTAAGTGCAACTGTTCAATTTTAGCCACGCTGATTTGACAGAAATGTTAATTTAGGGCCAAATTACATCTCAGATCCTGGCAAAAGCAGCCAAGGGAAGACTTTGGCCCTGCTACACTCCAGCTCTGACAGTCACAAATTGAATTCCCTGAGTGCTCAGTGACAGACCTGCAGTATCCTGCAGAACAGACAACTCTGCTGGAGGCAGTGAGATTGTTTTCAAAGCAAGTCTACACTGGAGTAACAGAAGCTGGGTCCCAGCTCCAAACTGTCCTGTAAATACCCTCCTTCCATGGCTGAGGCATGTGATACCTTGGCACGTTGAATTTAGCTCCATCCTTTAAAGCAGCTTCTACTTCAGTGTCAGATCAGTAGAGTAATGGAAGTAGAAGAGGAATTGTAAAATTAACTGCCCCAGAGGGTGGTGGCATGGAAGTGTCCTGAGAACAGGTTAGAAATGGTTTTGTTAAGTATTGGCCAGGGTGGAGGTGAGCTTGGTCCTGCTGCAGTGCTGGTGGTGGGACTGGATGCCTTCTTTGGGTCCCCCAAAAGAAGGCTGGCTTCTAAAAAGCAACGGGCATTTATACATCACCACCCCTGCAGACTAATATTACAGTCAGTTCTGTAGGACTCCTACAGTCTTTGCACTTGAAGCTGAGTTCAATTGCAACTTGCAGCCACAGAAAGCCTGGGGTCAGAGAGCCATTCCTCTTGAAACAGAGAGGAAAAGCTATTTCCATGTGGAGCTTTACAGAAGAACAAAGCCTTCACATCCTTTCCTCACCATGAGTTGTTTTGGTTGCACTTTGTACTGCCACTCTGTCATAAACGGGCCAGGAGAGATTAATTAATGGTGAGTGAAAGCCTGATCCAGACAGGAACACAAAATATAGAGATCTTAGATAACGGCAAGATTATAGGCAAATTACTGACCTTTCCAACTCAATGAAAAACCCTCTAAAATCAATTACCCATTTATTCAAGAATATATCACTCATCTGTTAGCCTTTTGTAAGATATTTATGAATGAGATTTTCAGCAGCGTGACCTTCAAGCTGTCTTCTGACACCACGGGTCAAACCGAGAAGAGCAGCGATTTCAGTCCGCAGAAATCAGGCTGCTTAAAGCGATATTGCCACGATAAAGCCTACCTGATTTTTTTGATTGGAGACTGCTTCTCCTGTGCAGTTGCAAGGTGCCCAGAATAATAAATGGGAAACACCATAATGTTCCAGTTTGTTGAGAACCAAGTCATGAAAAAAGGACAGTCAAAGGTCTCATACGTGATTTTGACAAACTGCGTGGTCCCGACCCAGGAGGAAGAGACGGACAAAATGATCAGAAATCTCCAGATAAGCTTAAGAAACGTGGATGTGCAAGATTGGCATCGTGTCTGTCCCTCAGCTTCTTGGCTGCTGCTCTCTGTGTGCGTTTGTGTTCCTTCTTCTCCTGGATTATAAAATTAAAAAAAAAAAAAAAAAAGCACAGAAAAAGAGAAGAGTTGCACACGTAATTAATGCATTCAAAACAATTCTTAGCAAAATCTCCCCTTCTGATCCAGACACAAACCATCCCCTGCCTTCTCTCTGTAATTCCTGCGCGCCTCACAAACGCTTAAATCCTGCTCAGAAATACTTCAGTAATACTATCTTCAAGGTGATAGAACAAAATATAAACACAACACAGAGGCCTGAGGTACCAGCATTACAGCTAAGCTGTTTCCACTGTTTGCCTTATCAGCCCTTCTTTCGTTCTGTCAGCCAAACCCCTAGAATAGAGCTCCATCTCTTGGAGCCAGCTACATTATAAAGTCAATTACTGTGCATGTTTGCAACATAAAAGCTATCTGAGCCGGTGCATCTGAAGCCAGAAACAAGTTCTTATTATTCAAGATTTTAACTCAAAAATCACTTTTTTTATTTGCAGGCTGCGAGGTGGAAAAGAAACAGTCTGGTGGCTCTGTATTCCAAAGCAGAGACAGGGTTTTTTTTTCAGTCAAGGTTGTGTATTTACACTTTTGAAGTTAAAAAAGGAAACCGGACAAAACCGAAGCTTGGCATGCCTGGAAATAAACCTCTAAAGATAACCCAGGAGGAAATGGAAAGTTGTCACTTTCCATTTTAATACAGTACTTTTCAGACCTAATCTGCAGATCACTGGAAACAGAACTGCGGACTGCGTAGAGAATTAATCTCCCTGGCTAATGACTTGCTCTCCAGACATACCTTCCAGAGAGGCAGCCCATGAATCCTATTCTGATTTCAAATTCCAGCTAAAAACAACCAAGCCAACAACACTGGATGCTGAGCAGCAGTAAAATCTGATTGATTTAGGTCCACGTGCTCATGCAGCAGCGATGAGCTCCAACCATTTGCCACACTAGAACACATCACGTCAGTTTGATACAAGAAACTGGAGTTCCTTCTAAAAATCATGACTGGCAGCCACCTTCAGCTATTACTAGTCACATCGCCACCTGATGTGATGTAGTGTAAGAAGCAATCTAATTCTTGATGTTAAGGGGAGCCACAGACCTACTGCAGCGAGAGCACACACTCTTAAATGTGAGAGAGGTACAATTCAAAATCAGATCTGACTTTCCTTTTATACTACTGTTTCTGCTACAGCCATAAAACATAAAAGTGAGGCTCCGAGTTATTAAATCAGACCTACTTTACACCTAAAACTTACTCCTCATAACAGGGAGTACATTTGTAACCAAAAATTTTCTTAACTTGGACACAAAGCTTTTTGTGATTGCGACTGTATGCTGCATTTTTCCCCCAAATAATGAGCATTTAGTTACTCCACTGTTTAGTGGTGAATCAAGAATTTAAATAAAATTACAGGTTTATTAAAACATGGAGAGGATAATCAGACAGAGCTCTGAATAGAAAAGCATCATTTTAGCATTCGCTTTGGCTACTGAGAGAAAATAGGTATTTTTATAGTACTAATAATGACTGGCATCTTCTATTAAGAAGTAAATTACAGTTTATTTGCAAGTTAGAATGGTTTAGAAAGAATATATCTCGCACTATCCCCTTGCAGGTTTTCCTGCTAAGCAAAGCTATCATGCAATTAGTCCTTCAGCTAACAGTTAAAGTAATCACACAATGATGGAAGACTAAAGCACCTTTATCTTCACATTAGGTTTTCCAATTACCAAATAACCCTGTAATTGCTGTTACTATGCATGACACCATCATTAGCATTTGACTTGGATGTTACAGGTCTGAATGTTGGGGAAAGGCACAGAAACATACACTTTTTGCAAGTCTCAGCTTGGTTTAGAAGACCTATGTAAGTTTAAGCCTAATTAAATGGGCAGCGGGGAGTTTTTGTAAGTGCTTAATGGGTAGGGTTCACCCCATGTAATGCAGTTAGCAAATAATTGCATATCCAGACTCAAAACGTTGTCTAGGCCCCCTCTTTACATAATGATAATGGAAAAGCATGTTGAGAAGGTGGCTCTCGTCCTCATGTATCTAAGGCAGGTGGGATGTATGTCCCACTGGAGGCTCTTCTCTCCCCTTAGACCAAATATCTGTATTTAAAGTGAAAATCCCAGTCAAATTGGCACAGTAACTTGACGGTCACTTAAAAATCCATGAGATGTGCACACCTAAATCTTGGCCAAAGATCCACAAGGACGAGATAAGAAATATCTTTAAAAGAATCACGAGGATTGAGCTTAAAGAGGGTGGGGACGTACAGAAAGCAGACACACGGGTTGGAGGATTTCCAAGTCATGAAGCTGAGGCTGGACTGAGCTAGGAAGTAGTGCTTCTGTTCAGCTACTGAATGATATGTTAACGGGGAGAGAAAAACATTCATTAGCCAAAGTGGTTGGTAAATAGCATTTTACCGTTAGCAAGGTGGTAGAAATCCTTGGTGACAGCTCAGCCTGAAACAGACCAACAGACCTGTCGAGAGCATGGAAACAATCTGAGAGCTCAACAAGGATGGAAAGGCAGAGAAGAATGTAGATGACACTGCAGATGACACATGAAGAAGACACATGTCAGTGGCAAATTATGTTGAAAGGCAGCTAGCAGAAACATCCCTTCAGTGGTCCCTTTCCATCTAAGTAATGTGATTTTTGCATGTGATGTCTCTGTGACAAGATGGAAACAGAAAAAGCTTCTGCTTTTGTTTTCAAAAGAATGAGATGAGGAAAATCAAATCCTACAGCTTTTCTTCCGAACTCGTAACTATGTTGTAACTACATCCTAGAAAATAACATCTTTGTTAACCTACCTATCAGGTCAATCCTATTAAAACCTCACTGATGAGGAATGGAAGAGTGGAAGAATGGAAGAATGAATAAAAAGGGAACTTAAAAAAATTGCAAAATAAACATTTGGAAGAGTATGATGTCAAGGCACTACCCTTTTCTCAAGGGAACTAAAGTCAGTTTTTAAAAAAGATGGATTCTGATTTTGGATGTACCCTAGTGCCAGCACGTAGAGTGTTATTTCAGCCTGATATCTGCGAAAAAATGAGAGCAGAGTGGTCTTCTGGTATCCTAGGTATGATCCTGCAGATGCTGTATCACCCACTCCTTGCTGCAGTCGTCACCTTCAATCGTTTTCAGAGGGTTTCCATCAAGAGAGTACTCCTGGAGTACAACATCCCTCCATTTCCCAGCACAAGACAGGAAATGTCTGACTCTTGCTGCCATCGGTGGTGCAGTGACAAGACAAAGGCTCAGCTGCCACAGTTCCAGTGTGCAAGGGAGATCCAGCCTGTTCTTCCTCCCCTTTTTTCCTCATCGCATCTACTCAGACAGTTTTGCAAAGCACTTGGGACAGTTAAATTATTTCAGTCATTTAACTGCTCTCTCCTCAGCACAATTCAGCACACTCAAAGGTCTCTGGTTGCATTTTGTAACTGCTCCCTTACCACCCCTGTTGATGACGGATGGACGTCATGGTGAAGAAGTCAGTGTTCACAATACCTACGGGTGTATTTGAGCTAAACTTCTGCAGTAAAGAGTGTGACACGTTCCTGCTGGAAGCCCTGATGCGCGGCTGATCGATGATCTGAACTGTGATGGTCTTTCCTAGGTATCCTTCCACCTGTTTCCTCCTCTTCCTCTTCATCAGACCATCCGTGGTATGAGCTGAGGTTGTCATTGTCTTCGAGGAGGTAGATGGCTGGCTTTTAAGGGTCCTGGTCTCTGGCCAGAAGTAACCTTGTATAAATAATTTGTGTACTATCATTAATCATCCTTTTGACATCTTCTGTGCCTACTGGCCTTACGATTTCTCAGATAATACATCCTAAGTTCCTACTGAGGCCCATCCTTGCTTCCTTCTTGCCTACCCCCAGCTTGCACACAGGTACAGGAGGGGCCTTCACGTGGCTGTGCGGTTCGCAGCACTGAAAAGAAACGTCAGCACGTCCGGACCCTGCACCATCTTTCAGAAAACAGACGGAAGAGGCCTTGTGCAGGCATACTGTGACGCCGAAAATGCGGCTGTTTATGCCTACCTGATCTGCTCTGCCTCTCGACTCTGCTGTGCCGACAGATTCCCGAGGGACTTCGATTCTGCAGCTCAAGAATGGGAGCAGCAGAATCTTCAGCAACAGATAGAGGGGAGAGCTGCCTAGTCATGCCTCTGTGTCTGCTGGGGCAGTTGCCTCCTGGCTTGCATTGGATGACAGATGATCGTGAGGCACCTGAGAAGAAAGAGTTTGCATCAGTTTGGCTGTAAACTCCCTGGAGGAAAGCGGGGCTTTCAAACACTGCCAGTGAAATGCACACAAACGATTCAGCGGGAGAAAGGAAGCACAGTGCAAAAATCAAGCTTTCAGCTTTGGTCAGAATCAAGGAAATAAATAAGTAAATAAATACTCCACTCTCTCCCCCCTTATAGATAAAAGGTGCCGTATGAAAACCGGTCTTTCCCCTGGAGAAATGAGAGCCCTGTAGTGCAGCAAATCCTTAGCCACATGGCTCCATCCACAGGATCTGAACAGTCAAAGGAATTTGTACTCACGTGGGCCCCTTCCTGAGCACTGACACTGAATCAGGCAAAAGGAGAGGTCGCCATCCTTCCCTAGGGTAGAAAGAAGGGCTGAGGAACGACTGCCTCCTGGGGTCAGTGCTGGGAGGCTCCCAAGAGGACGGCTGCCCCTT